CAGGAATCGAACCCGAGACCCCTTGTCCGGCCAATGAGGTAGTCTACCAATGATTTATGTTGAATAAAAATATTTAAATTGGTAATATTTCTATAAGCAATAAAAATCAGTGAATGGACTTTGAGACTTCGCTTGGTGAACTTTCAATGAACAGTAAATAGCAGATCAATTTTTTATTGAACTATTTACTCTGATATAGACATGTATGTACTACATGTACGTACCTACTATATTGCTAACGTGTATATGTATGTATTCTCCAAATTCTCCTATATATAATATTAAGGGAAAGTTTGTATATTCGTTACTTTGATTGTTTATCTCTTTTCGTCAAACCGGTTGAAGGGATGTTGTAAAAGGTCAACAGTTAAAGCATTTATTTCAATTAATTCTTAACTAGGCACTTTTGAAACGTTGAAAAAGTGAATTGGGTAGTTTCCAGGGTATCAAAATTAAAAATCTAATAATAATTAGTCCATCAGTTAGATATTGAAAAAATATTAGACACGTATTTTTTTATTTTCTCGGAATAAACTGTCAAACACCAAGCGGTCACCGGTGACCGCAACCTATTGTTCTTTAATTGTGTCTATAATGACGATACTCAACGTTGCAATACTTATATAAATTGACGCCAAGTTTAGGAGTGGGAGGTTGTTACGTCATAACATGCTACAAAATGTGCTACACGCTGTGACGTCACGCGATATTTCAAATTAATATATCGTTGAAAGTATTTAATTTTGTAAGAAAAGAAAAAATACGGGTCTAAAGTTTTAAATTAATATAGGTACCACACGGACATCAAAATAAAATTTAGGAAACTACCCTATTGTCTGCCCTTGTCTGTCAGTGAAGCAAGTCGTTCCAACATGTAGTTTCGGATAGAGAAGAACGAGCAAGAAACTCCATCGTTACTCTTGTAAAAAAAATGTTTTAATGAACGAAATTAAATTTGGAACGGGCTTAGATTATGGTCTGGCATATAACATGGAGGCTACTTTTTATCCTACGGGATCAACATAACGATTCAATGCTAATGGCTTCAATAATAAGTCACCAATTTTTTCTGAATCAGTCAAAATATTGTTACCTACGTTTTTCATACTTAGACTCTGTTAATTGTATCGTCTATTACAACGGGACGCACAGATGCATCACCTGATGGTAAGCAATCGGCGTCGCCCATGAACACCCACAACATATTTTTTTATGGAATAAGACGGTATGCGAGCGGACGGATCGCCGTAAGGTAATCAACACCAGAGGCGTTACAAGTGCGTTACCACACTTTTGGGCATTAGGAATTTGAGGATTGTTGGTGATTGGGGAGATTAAGGAGGGGAGTGATTGGGCCTCCGGTAACCTCACTCACACGACGAAGCACAACTCAAGCGTTGTTTCAAGTCGGTGTACTGTGAGGCCGTGGTATCACTCCGGTCGAGCCAGCCCATTCGTGCCGAAGCGTCTCCTGCACTTAAAAACAATAAATAAAAGAACTTACGTCACTGCAGATCTTTGTCTTGTGTGCCTAGTTTACACTGTTAGTGCGTTACCCATTTAGAGATGCTAACGAGGCATGTTGTTAGCATGTTTCTTTTCTGTTTTCTTTTAATTATTTTTACGTAGGTACTGTTTATTTTCTTAACTGTCTCACTTTGTCTTTTACTATGTTTTTTCTTCTATTTATGCTGCATCGTGCCTGGTGCTGAATAAATGCTTATTCTTTCTTTTACCCATTTTTTTTTCTTTGAATGTGAAATGAATTATTACTGTGACGAATATAAAATCTCAATACATTTAGTCACCAGTAGTTAGTGATACAATAATCCATGTGTGGTTATCTAATCAATCAAGGTAATATAATATTACATACAAATAATATTAGCTCTAGATTATCTACTTAAACTACGCATCGTATGCTTCGGTGACTAACGAAACACATGAGTCAATGGCATCCATAATAATAAATATTATTCATGTTGTTGTAGATAACATTTAAAAATAGGAGTCAAGGTAAAATTTTGTGGAGAAAACCCCAATGACACTTTTCCAGACTCAGGATTCGACGAAACTTGCGAATGAGTTTATTTAAAATCAATTTTATTTGTGTAGTATAAATTTGACATAGTGTAGCTACGGAAACCCGACGCTAAACGATAGGTTGTAGCCAAATCGTAGTCAAATTGTAGGCGAATTGTAGTCATATCGTATGCGACGCGTAGACGCATCGTAGTCATTCGTAGTCAAACTAAAGGCAGTGTACCAGTATCGTACAAAATACGTAGCAATATCGTAGGCGATGCGAACAAATTATAGTAGGCAGATCGTAGACGATGCGTAGTCAAACAATGGGCGATGCGTAGTCACATCGTAGGCGATGCGTAGACACATCGTAGGAGATGCGTAGTCACATCGTAGGAGATGCGTAGTCACATCGTAGGCGATGCGTAGTCACACCGTAGGCGATGCGTAGACACATCGTAGGCGATGCGTAGACACATCGTAGGCGATGCGTAGACACATCGTAGGCGATGCATATTCACATCGTAGGCGATGCATATTCACATCGTAGGCGATGCGTAGTCACATCGTAGGAGATGCGTAGTCACATCGTAGGCGATGCGTAGTCACACCGTAGGCGATGCGTAGTTACACCGTAGGGGATGCGTAGTCACATCGTAGGCGATGCATATTCACATCGTAGGCGATGCATATTCACATCGTAGGCGATGCATATTCACATCGTAGATGAGAGGTAGTCATATAGTAGGCGACGCGAAGACACATCGTCACATCGCAGTCCAGTGTTAAACGTAGTTAAACCAAAGGCAGCATAGCAGTGTCTAGTATCGTAGGAAATACTTAGCAATATCGTAAGCGATGCGTAGTCACATATCTAAACGCGATAAAATATAATAATAATATTTAAAATCTTTCATTTACCTCCTTAATTTTAATTAATATGAATACCCTACTCACTAGCTTTAATCGCTAAATCTAGCACTTGCTCGTTTAAAACAAGCACGTGGTATACGTGACTAAATAAAGTAACGACAAAGATAGTACTATCAATAAAGAAATCAGTCTGGAGATAATCGCTTTCTTATACCTGACGAGTGGCGAGTCGAGTTGTGACGTCACACGCCGGAGCGTAAACGAAGCACAGCGCAGCAGCGTGGGCGACGCGTGATACATTCAAAATGCGTGCATTAATATTTTCGTCTGCAATACGGTACAACTAATCAAATTCAATACTTTTATTGAAACGTCAAAGACGATATTGTTATATGAATTTTGTACCAAAAACCAACTTTTGACGTCATTATATTTTCGAGTCAAATAGCACACTTATTTCTGAAAAAAAAAATCTAGAATAAGTCGATAATAGGGTAGACGACTAATTTTTATTTTAATGTCCGTCTGGTAGATTATTTTAAATCATTACACAAGTATTTTTTATTTTCTTACAGAAACGAATACTTTCCACGATATATTGATTTGAAATGTCGTGTGACGTCACTTTTATGTACATTTTATACGTAGAAATGACGTTTTAGCCCCCACTCCTAAACTTTGATTCGTTTTATCTGGCGCCTCAAAGAGCCATCAGACCACCACAGATGGGGCCCAATAGGGCCGATGCCGATTCGGAGTCGCGGAGAACCTAACGGGTAACCGGGGCTCCGGCTCGACGTGCAGGAGAAGGAACGGGGTGGTTTTTAGTCAGTAAGAGTCTGACACTCCCTCCCGCCTCACCCAGGCGGGAGCAGTAATTCGATGATTTCCCCCCTTAAAAAAAAAATCCAGGTAATTGTTATCGCAATGGCTTATTCGTATAGTTTAATTTCGTATGTACACTGACTTCTAAGATACAGGTTTTTTCCTAGTTTAGAAGTCAGGGCCCTTTTGCTCTGGCCACAGTCATGATCCTGGAAATGTAAAAAATGTGATCTCTCTGGTAATAAGAAAGATTTATTTATTTATTATTTATTATAATATGTGACACACCGTTACAAGATTTTCAGCAAGTTCTAAATAGTAGATACAACTATATTCCTCCGTTAAAGTAGATTACGTTAGAAATGATACGATAATATCGACGTTTTACTTCAAATTACAGTTCAAAAATAGAAAAGAGTGTCATCAAAATAAGCTACTTAAATCTAAATGCAATTAGGTACGTCAGGCTGAAACTGGTGAAATCCGGTAACAACCAGAAGCGAAGGTTTTTAAAAAAAGATTTACTGATTTAAGTAGAAGTTATCACGCCACACAGTTTTTTATGAAAACCGTAATTTATTTTCATTTATGACCTTAAAGATTACGATAAAAAAGCAATTTTAGCTACAATAGATGACACGAACATCTATTTTTATGAAACCTTTTGAAATCATAAGTGTGGGAGAGCCATGCTTCGGCACGAATGGGCCGGCTCGACCGGAGTGATACAAATGAAACCAATGCCGTGAAACAATGCTTGCGTTGTGTTTCGTCGTGTGAGTGAGGTTACCGGAGTTCCAATTATCTCCCTCCCCAAACTCTCGAATCCCCAAAAATCCTCAAATTCCTTATCCCCAAAAGGCCGGTAACGCACTTGTAACGCCTCTGGTATTCCGGGTGTCCATGGGCGACGCCGATTGTTTGCCATCAGGATTTCTGTGAGGCCGTGGTATCACTCCGGTCGAGCCGGCCCATTCGTGCCGAAGCATTAGTCTCCCACACTTATTTATTAATAAAACGCCACAAGTTCTATCATAATGAGTTCCAAAGCAAGATAAGCTTAGGGATTACATCATTATAAAGAAAAATCTCCGTTTATCTAACTAAAGAAATAGCGATAATGTTCTATATTCTGTTTAACTAGTGCCCTTAACCCGTATCACGCACTGTATGAAAGGCGGCTTAATGTTTTCGTTATAATCTAAAATAGATATTATTTGATATCGTTACCAAGGCATAATCAAATGCAATATTATTCGCCCTAGCCGAGGAAAGACTCGGCATAACCGCGGCGCGCGCCAGCCGGTAAAGACGCAATCGCGCTCTCGCGCCATTTCTTCGATATTCGAATTTAGAATTTCGTTTGTTTTTTTTGCACATTTTTATTTAATTTGTGGTAGTGAGAAAATAAGAACAATGAAGGTTTTAAGCGTTGTGATTTCTTTTTTGTGTGTATGTTCTGTTTTTGCCAGTGAGGTGAGTTTATTAATTTTCATTATACGTTAATATTTTCAGGCTTAAAATTATAATTACTCTTGTCTAATACAAGTATTATATCTTCATAGGGCAAAATAGTGATTATCATAAATATCTACTTTTGATATTATTATTTACTAGTTGACCCGGCAAACTTTGTACCGCCTAAAAAAGTTTTCGCCTTTTAAACATTCCCTGGACTTCCACGAATATTTCAAGACCAAAATTAGCCAAATCGGTTCACCCGTTCTCGAGTTTTAGCGAGACTAACGAACGGAAATTCATTTTTATTTAAATAGATTTAATGTTAAATCATGGTTAAATCGTTGAGAGACCTCAATACCAAATTGATAACCATATTTCATTTAGATGGAAACAATAAAATCTTCTGCATATTATTACCAACAGTCATTTATTCGTATTAAGTTTTTGCAATATTTATACCTAATTATGAAAAATGTATGCATAAAGTACCTACTATAAATTTATTTTAAAGTTTACCTACATTTTTGACAGATCGTACTCAAATTAATTTACATAAATTAGTATTTCCATTATTTATACTTTTTACCTGCATTTATACAAATAAAGCTATAAAACATCTATAATCACTCATAGCAAGACAAAGAAAAAAAGTAAAAAGCAAAGACAATAATTTTACTTAATAAAAATACCACCTCCTTTCTACAAGTTAACAAAGATTCCAGATCATGCAGCGTGCGCGTGTTATTGTTGCGTCTCGTTCTAGCACGAGGGATGATGTTCATTGTTGTTGTTCTGTCTCCCTCTAAGAAAGGAATCTCCCTGTGTTCCAAATTTTTGAATAGAGAATGCATGAGATGTCACGTAGGCATTTTATTATTGGTAGCTTTGATTCACATCAATGGTTGCTAAGTGGACCACCTCCTTTCTACGAGTAAACAAAGATTCCCGATCATGCAGCGTGCGCGTGTTATTGTTGCATCTCTTTCTAGCACGAGGGATGATGTTCATTGTTGTTGTTCTGTCTCCCTCTAAGAAAGGAATCTCCCTGTGTTTCAAATTTTTGAATAGAGAATGCATGGGATGTCACGTAGGCATTTTATTATTGGTAGCATTGCTTCACATCAATGGTTGCTACACTGATATGATATTTATATATCTATGGGTTGCTAAGTGCACTATGATATCATGTAGGTATGTAGGTGTCTACAGATACGTAATTTGAGGAAATATTTTGTTTTGTTTGAATTACATTTAAAGGTCATTCATGACATTTATTTGTTTGCAAAATGATTTAATTATTTACAAATATTTTTTCTTAATCCTAGTGTAATTATTATAATAGGTACTGACCAAAAATAAATATGGTATATTTCTTCGCATTCTGTAAAAAGATAGTGAATTATAAGACTAAGTATTACTGGGGTTTATTAAATTATCTGTAATTGCACTGAGTCAGGAATTGTACCCAGTACTTATGGGACTCATAACATAAATAGTGAAAAGTGGGTGTTGCATTGTACAGCGGCATTAAGTGCCGTAATGTGCATCTCTATCTACCCCTTCGGGAATAAAAGGCGTGATGTTATGTTATGACTTATGAGACACTTAATTTTTATTTTATGAGAAATTACTAGTCAGTTTTTTAGGAAAATAACAAAAATCGAGGCTATAAAGGGCGTATATCTGTCACAACTAAATTCTGAAATCTATCTAGGTGAAAACTGAAGGACCTTAATAACAGTAGAGAACACAATTAAATGTATTACTATATTATTAAAACAAATATTTACAAAAGAACAATGTTTTTGTTACAGAGTTACAGAGCAGGTGTACTGCAGTTGCAAAACAAAGAAATAATCGAGTACACGCATTTCATACGTGAAGCGGCTAACACGGTGAGTCACAAATAAAAATAATATTATCATAGAAATTGTTTGGTATTCGTATTATGAAGAAATGTTATAACAAATGGAAAAACTACTAACTGTTACGCAGTAATGGCCGCGTGCTTAAAAAAATAATATTTGTAACAAAAATGACGTCAAAATGGCTAAGAAATCGCCACTTCACTTTTAATTTTTTGACATTATAAAAATACTGAGTCCTTTCCTTTCGACTGTTCAATACAATAAAATAATTAAAAATAATCACACTTCCAATAATTGATTTTATGACCTACTTACTTTTAGTATATTTCCAGCATTTTTTTAACAAATAAGTATGCTGTTTGACTCTAAAAAAACGTGACGTCACAATACACAATCTCGTAAAAAAATCGTATTAAACTGTCGTTTTTGACAGTTCGAAAAAAGTATTGAATTTGTCTAGTTGCCAAGTACCCAATTACCCTTGCCAATTTGTCCAAGTCCTTCCCTGGAAGTTTATCTAATAGCAGTAGGTCGTGGTTTGGTACTTCTCCAGTCACCTCAATAAAGGAGTATCAGGGATCTCAAGCATGTTTTGTTATGATAACAATATTGTTTTACAAACACTCTCAGCATAACACAGTTAGGTATTTTTAAACACATACTAAAGAAAAACAATGATAACCTAACCGATCATTTATCTAATAAAAATAAATTAAAAAACATTAATTATTTTTCAATAAAACCTCTTTGGTCAAACGTCAAAAACAAATTGTTTTTTTTTATTTATGATAATTGTTAAATAAAAAAAAATCAGTTTCAATCATTCATTGCTTCCGCTCTTTCAAATAAATTCGAATTTTAATTTAGGAATAAAGTTTGTAAATAAAGAGCACGCGGTGATCAGCTGGATAGGTCATTGACCGTCACATTCGTATTCGTATGTGCATTCTGCATGATCAAAATACATGCAAGAAATATTTCCTTGCGTAGCTCAATGCCAGAATAATAAATAAAATTTATATGAAGATAAAATACAAGAATACTGTTCTAAGTGAAGTACCTTTAGTTTTAAACCATTTTTTTCACGATATAAATACTAAAATAACATCTTTGTCTGCGAACTTTACATTTAAAGCTTTATTTAATAATTTTATTGTTTAATGCGAATTCTTATCATATTTTATCGATTTCCAGGATGTCGATATTCTGGTGTTGCCTTCGTTGGACTCCGTTGAATCGTCTGATAAATATGATGAGGTAAGTTTCAATTAAAAATAATAAATAATATAATTTATAACCTTAATTGAAAATAAATGTCAAAAATATATTCCCCATTCAGAAAAATTCATGATAAATTCTATACTCTGTATTATTACTGATCTAAAAAACCTTAATAATATATTACTCAAGACTCAACCCTTTGTAATGAACTTATCTATTGTGATCATTTGTTAAAAATAAAATCTTTCCAAATCTCCCGCCACACAATCCCCACGTGTTATCATGCTATCCCTTTCTAACGACATACATTATGTTCTTTGTTGTTATTCCGTCTCGTTCTAATGAATATTCCATAGAGAACTTTTTAATTCGTGATGCGTGGTCCTAAGTCACGTAGACTAAGGTATTGACCGAGGTATTGACGCATACAGCCTCTCACTCTAATATGACAAGGAATTTAATAAATACTTTTTGCTGATGAAATCTGTTCGCATATTTTGTTTTATGGGTTTTATTGTGAACTATGATAGTATAGTTTTAAAGTGAGTAGGCAGAGATGTCAACAAAAAAAAAAAGGTCGACAAAGCTTCTGACAGACCACAAACTAAAAAAAACTCAGTAAAGAAATATCACAGAGGCTGTAATTATTGTGATTTTGGAATTTCAATAATTACAAACGTGCATGGTTAAACGCCAAATGCAATAAAAAAAAGGCAAAAGTACAATCGACAAAATTACACTTGACTAGGTACAAATTGTATTTCATACAATCTTTTTTTTTGTGTTACAGCTTGTCGACATAATATCGAAGACGGCTAGACAAGCGAGTGTGTATGTCGCCATACATTTGTATGAGAAGGCTCGTTGTCACTTGGGACACGAAATGGTCAGGAGCAACCTGGTGTTCGATAGGAAAGGAGACATTATTGCTGTGTAAGTTTGTATTAGTAGATTTTATGTATTTTTTAACTATATGTCTCGTATCCAGCTTCACCTTGTTTGAGTGCTACTAGTGCGACTACTATACAGGGGATTTCGGGTTCGAATCCCGAATTGAGTAAAATTATTCCTTATTAGGAATACATTGTTAAATTATGTTAATGTGCGTCACCAGATTGTCTAATTAGATTAAGGAAATTGAAAATTAATGATAAAAATCTAACCTATACCATTGTTCAATTTTTTTTTTTTTTTTATAAAACTTTGCCCCACACTAGGATTTTCTCCTGTGTCGTGGGTGCGTTTACAAACATACAAGTTTACATACACATCACACCCAGACCCGAAACAACAATTTGTGGATCACACAAAGTGTTGTTCCGTGCGGGAATCGAACCCGCGACACGTTGCTCGGCAGCCGGTTACCCAGCCACCGCACCAACCGTGCAGTTTACATTTAACATTCAATAACACAATACCAACCTTCAAAAATTAACAGTTACAGAAAACCTCAAAACAGTAATGCCAACTGCACGACCTCGCCTTCAGAGCCAGCTACGTTTACCACTGACTTTGGAGTGACATTCGGTGTGATGATGGAAGAAGACTTAGCTCTTTATGATGAAGAGCACTTGAAAGGAGTCAAGAACCTGGTGTTGACTGGAGACTGGCAGTCTGAGTTATCGTTCTTGAGTGGTGAGTTATTGGATGTTATTATGAGAGAAAAAGTCAAAGGTTTTATAAATAGTGCTCTTACGAGGAATATAATTGGCTTAAAAAAGTACTATTCCACACCAAAGCTTTGGAAGGATTCATTAAGATGGGAATGTGATACTGAGTCCCTATGGTCCCATAATAGATTTACAGAAGAAGTTCTGTTCTGTGTAAAGATATTTTCAGTGAAGATTCAAACAAGACTTCTCTTGTTGTACTCTGTATCTCTGAAATTTTCATATACATAAACATCAAATAATCCATCGTATTTATTATATTCTAAATATATAGACTGCAGGGAATAACAACAATTCTTTCTATTTCAGCTGCCCAATTCGCGCCATCTTGGTCTTACACTAACAACGTGAACCTAGTGTCTACTTCAGGCATTTACTCTGGGAAGGCTGGCTTGAAATCTGGGTCTGGTAGACTGGTAGTTGCTGATCTACTGAAGAATGGTGAAAATGGTAGGTCATTTAGCTTTTTACCTTTAAACTGTCAAACACCAAGCGGTCACCGGTGACCGCAACCTATTGTTCTATAATTGTGTCTGTATTGACGGTACTCGACGAGTTAAAATAATTTCTATTATGGTCTTTACTTGTAACCCTGTGTGATTGTATGACCAAATGCATTATTGAAGCTAAAGAAGAATGTAAAGATCGTAGTACGTGGCAGTCTATGGTATCCTATGGTCATAACCAGGTATTGGTTATGTATGTGTTTGAAGTATAGGTTTGAAACATAATAAAAGATGTACTATGTACTTGTATAAATAACTAGCTTCTGCCCGCGACTTCGTACGCGTAATCCCATTTTTTCCCGTCCCCGTTCGTGACTTTTGGTAAAATTAAAAAAAAAAATGTTGGTTAAAAAGTATCCTATGTCGGTCTCCTGGCTCTAAGCTACCTCCCTACCAATTTTCAGCCAAATCTATTCTGCCATTCTTGAGTTATAAGTGGTGTAACTAACACGACTTTCTTTTATATATATAGATTAAAAATTTTCAAGTATGTGCTAAACACATTGCTTTCGATACTAAGTTTTTCATGTTTACAGTAGATCGTGAAGGTGACTGGTATTTTCGTACGTTTGATTACAAACATGTTTTGCAAAGTTTGTTATCGACATGTGAGCATCGTACGATGTCCGATAACAATCATAGACCATATTACGTCATCGTGTTAGGAATTATGACGCGTCTAATGTTTTCTAAGTTTAAACTAGTTGAGGAAATCAGTATAGCGAATAATTACAGTTTTATTCATAAAATTTCATTTTCCCCCTCTTCATTAGGTATTATTTTAGTTGGCGTGGCAGCCGATGCCGTACAAAGATAATTATAAAAATTTAAATTTCAAACGTTTGCTATGAAAATAAATTTTGCATAGTTGCAGTTGCCGGGCGTATATGAATAAGACATCAAATTTTCTATTATATATTTATATATTGAGGAATTTTTAAACATAAATTGTTCATGCAATAAATAATGTAAGGACGCATTTTATATACATTTATTGTATAGAAAAAAATTCATGGTACGATGGTACTTGCGTATAAAAATATGAATATTACTTTTTTGCGTGTCTAATATATAAACCTTGGAAATTGAATTTAATGGTAATTAGGTTTAATTACATATTTTTGTATAGGTAATTGTGATGTCCGATGTTGTGAATATTTAAAGTTTTGAAATGATATGAAAAAAGAATACGTACCTAGGTGAATAATTACTGACTATGTCTGAAAATAGACTTAGAATAAATATATACATAACCTCACACCTGTCTCCGCTAGGGAACGCTTTAGCTTCCTCAACAATCATAATACTGATAAGCATAAAATCACTATTATGTAAATGCGCAATCTTAAAATTCCTTGAACATAGAACCTCCTTATTTAGTAAATTTAAGAATATAAATAAACGTTTCGAAATTAATATAATCGAATTCTTTACAGAAGTATCAGCTGTCCCGTCAATCAGTACTCCAGTGAACTTCCTGGCTGAGGATCTGAACCTGTACGTGATGAAGCAGCTGGACTTGCAGGCTAGTGCCAACGGGTACACGGAGACCATCTGCCATAGGAGCTTCTGCTGCGAGTTTTATGTGAAGACCGCTAAAGGTGAGGTTCTAAATGGTGGAGTTTGAGATTTTTTGTTTTGGTTATGGATTTCTGTTCAGGACAAATGTATTCCAAATAAAGCCAGAAATCTACTCTTTATTTAAAGTGCACTGTGCAAGTGTTCTTGAAGCCAACTTAAAAATATGTCAATGCATTTCAATAAAATCATGCATTTACGGTAACTAACACTTGATGTTATTTTTTTATTTCAGATGTCAAAACTGAATCCGCCTATAATTTGGCAGCGTTTAATGGTGTCCGTCCATTTGGCGCTAACCACAACGTTGCTACTCAGATTTGCGTTTTATCAGGGTAAGTAGTTTTCTCGTCTAATTGACTTTCATATTTATTATTAGGATTATTAACCCAATTTCGTCTATTACTTGAAACTATCCTTTCCATTTTCACTAGGAATATTGTGATAAGTTTCGTATATTGTGACACTGGTTTACTACATGTGGCACAAGTTTAGGTTCCATTGTACGGTTTACTTACACTAATTATGTAAATTTAACTTATTTTATTATGATGACTATGCATATCGGACGATTTTCCGTCGCAGCATTCAATTGTAGACCAGTGTGCACTTCAACTCGCTACCGATCGTACCACTGTGAGAATCACCTAATAATCTTACTTATAACTTTTAAAAATAAACTTTTCGGGTCTTCTAGAAGTGTTTACACTCTCAACTCCAAACTAAACTATATAAGTAGTGTTGCAATTTAATAAGGAATGGACCGCAACCAATGATAGCTGTTCTTTTTTGAACTTAGAGTGTAAATCTTTTGAGAATTCCCATTTAAGTCTTATTATTTCTTGTTACTGCCTCGTTGGCAGAGTGGTCGCAAGTGCGACTGCTGAAGGGGTCTCGGGTTCGATTCCCGGGTCGGGCAAAGTATTATTGGGTTTTCAAAAAATTCTCAGCAGTAGCACGGAGTCTGGAATTGTGCCCAGTATATGGCAATAGGCTCACCCCCTATTACATGGGACAAGTAACATAAATAGTGAAAAGTGGGTGTTACATTGTACAGTGGCATAATGTGCACCTCTGCCTATCCCTTCGGGATAAAAGGCGTGATGTTATGTATGTATGTATTTCTTGTTACAGATTTGAATCCAACATTAACTTCGAAAGAATATCCATCGCTGCCAACTTTACGAAACAAAGCTCTCAATATCCAATCGTCCAATCAACAGTAGTGCTGCCAACTGAAGCATTCAACTTCGAAGTTAAGAACAATGGTGTTTCAGAACAGGTAACATTGGAATTAGAAAATGCGAAAAACGTAATAAACTTTGGTATTATCGGTAAAAACGCTAATGTAGATTTGGAAAAGGAGTATGTAGTTGAGAAAAATGCCACTGATAATGTTCAGAGTGAGTTCTTTGAATATATTTTCAATGAAGATGTTCAAGAGTTTGTTGATTATGTTTGGATCCGTTTACGAGTACTCATCGTTGTTGTTTCTATTTACATTTTGGAAATGATGTAATTTTGTGAAAATCAAAGCAATATTTAAAGAGATTTTCTTTTAAATTTCTTTACCTAAGGTTATTGAATCGATTTTGAGTTCTTATCCGTGAACATTAAGATTGATTTTGCAATAGAATTGAATTTGCAAACACTATTTCTGCAACACAATGTGTTCAATACCATATAGGGAACACGATAGAATTCAAAATAGGTTGATATAACCGCAAAAAGGATTGGTTTTTTAATTAATAAATGTTGCGATTGTGTTTATCTTAGTACAAAAGGTATTTGTATCATGAAAGAAAGTGGTTTGTGGTATATGTATGATGGATATTCTTAATAATGCGAGTTTGTGATAAAAATCTGTTCATTAATGGCTTAATGAGTGATAAGACTGTAAAATATAAGCGTTGAGGTCGATAAGCACTTGGTAATAACTTCTAGAATAATATTGTACCTACTGATAGAATGTACGGAAACCAGTTTGCCTTGTATGGTCGATAGATGGCGCTTTTCTCTAATTAATTACCAAAGAAATTGGTAAATGAATGCTGCATAAGTAAAGTCGATTTAACTTATAAAAATAGAGTCTATTTTTGAGAAATTGTGTATACAATCTTTTGGCAGATGTCTGAAATGTACAATTGATATTCTGTCCACGTATTCAGTGAAAAAAAAAAAATATTTTATGAATTTAATATTTTGTCTCAAATAACCATGTCATCCTTTTATTGTGCAATTTATGATGATATGAATTTCTATGTGTACGTGCCATTGTACTTTAAAATAATGTTGTCGTCGACTGTAGTAAAAATTGTACTGTTTCACCATTCATATTTTAAAGAATTGATTGTATAAATATTTTGTTACTATTAAACTTGTTTTAAACTTTAATGTTAATGAAAGTTAATACAAGTATTATGTTCGGTATAAATGGCTCCACATATCGTATTTTTGTATTAAAATAATATGGTTTGAGACGCCATTTATTTACTAATAGCTTGATATGACATTTGGTAAAGGAGTTTTGATTTTAAAATTTTATTCTTATGACTCTGTAGTAATTTTTTGTAATGGTAAAACATAAATGGTATTGTAAAAAACTAAGATATTTTGTCAAGGATTAAGAATTGAAGAATTGTAAAAAAATCGGAAACACAAAAAGAAATTTATAATTATTATTTTTATAAAGGTAATGTATAAGTGATGGTTATATTTTTTATATGAGTTCGTATTTCGTGAAATAATTATTTTGGCAAATGATACATGGTACAATGTTTTCTATGTTATATTAATCTATTTGTAATACAGTCGACACAGACTGTTACTGTGATATTAGATATATGCATGATTTAAATATAATGAATTTTATAATAATTAATATTAGACTTTTATTTTTTCCTTGTTCATATACTATTATGAACTATATATATATTCTTAACTATTTATATATTCTTTTTTAGCTATCCGCTACCTATGAGGTGAATATAATGGACAAGGCCAAGTCTATATTTTTAAAATTAATGATTTTAAATTTTCTAATTCTTAAGGGTGATTTACCAGAATGGCGTTTTTCCAATATATATTTTTTTGATGGGACTAGCCCGCTACAACCTCTCTAAACGTGTCCCTTCGTCCAGCATACTCACCATGGAATCCTGATATTTCATGAATGTCAAAAAACTGTTCTGAAATAGTGCTAAATAGTGCCCAAAGGAAAAAAATAGTGCTCTTGTACTTGCGAAGTTATAGCCATAGTTCGATGAGTATGCTGGACGAAGGTTTCGCCCAGCATACTCACCTCCGTCCGGAGAATCTGTATACGCTTCAAACATAATTCATACTTCAAAAAATAGTTCCCAAATAGTGCCAAACGGTGCCCAAAAAGAAAAAACAGTGCTCGAATAACTTCGGAGTTATAGGCTTCGTTCAGTGAGTATGCTGGGCGTAGGTTCTACGCCCAGCATACTCACCTCAGTGCGCGAATATCGAACGAGCTATAGGTACAATTTACGTCTCAAAAAATTGTGCTTGAAATAGTGCCCAATATCAGTCCAATTTTTGCTTGACTTTTGACTTAGAAAACCATTAAATTTTAATGTAAACTTCTACATACTAACGTAAAATGGGGTACAGTCGTCGACACATGTTTTTGGACAAAAATATTAAACTTTCTAATTGTAGACTTCATGTTATTGGAAATAATTATGGTATTTTCTCACATGTCAAAAACTTTCGATTAAATGCATTATTATATATTTTATAAATAATAATAAATGAATGAAACTTTAAGCGTAAATGAAGTCTATTACTTCATTGCATTGTGTGTTTGTCTGAATAAAAACAGTCATTTGCAGCCAATAAAATTAATATCTTGAAAAATTGTAAAAAGGAAATTATACAGTTTCTTTTTGTATATATGTTGCAGGCAAAACTTATAACCAGTCAAAACTAGTACTGTGACATAGTTATACAAATTTTTAAAACTCTTTCCAATAGTTTCATCAATGAAAGGTTTAGCAATAAAAAACATTTTTAATTACATATTCATTTGCGTCGCGGGCGCCGCGCGTCGTAAGCCCCATACCTATTGACCGTACGTGCATCCATTACTGCCACACTATATTGAACTTTATCACATGAGGAATACAGGTCAATTCCGTAAACGTTGTGGTACCGTCCTTGATCCGGAAAATGATTATTTTGAATAATTTTGTCAGTTGTAATGTAAGCATTAATAACAGCAACTTTATTTTTCATGCATGATTTACTTCATTTGATATCTTAATCCTTCAAGCGCCGTGATCTAGACAAAATATATAAAATCATTGTTCCTAGCTACCGGGGTCCCATGCGACGCGCGAAGGCTTAATCATATTATTATAAAGTATTATTAAAATAATGTGTAATTAATAATATTGCGATTCTAAAGTAAATACTCCCTTACATAGACAATTAATAATTTACACAAGACAAAAATTGTTAGAAAGAAAGTTAATAATATTGTATTCGACTGTACTCAATGTAATGTATGTAGAAGTTTACAATCAAATTTAATGGTTTTCTAGGTCAAAAGTCAAGCAAAAATTGGACTGATATTGGGCACTATTTCAAGCACAATTTTTTGAGACGTAAATTGTACCTATAGCTCGTTCGATATTCGCGCACTGAGGTGAGTATGCTGGGCGTAGAACCTACGCCCAGCATACTCACTGAACGAAGCCTATAACTCCGAAGTTATTCGAGCACTGTTTTTTCTTTTTGGGCACCGTTTGGCACTATTTGGGAACTATTTTTTGAAGTATGAATTATGTTTGAAGCGTATACAGATTCTCCGGACGGAGGTGAGTATGCTGGGCGAAACCTTCGTCCAGCATACTCATCGAACTATGGCTATAACTTCGCAAGTACAAGAGCACTATTTTTTTCCTTTGGGCACTATTTAGCACTATTTCAGAACAGTTTTTTGACATTCATGAAATATCAGGATTCCATGGTGAGTATGCTGGACGAAGGGACACCTCTAAACCGCTGCAACTCCTGTAAGCCTGGATCTACAGTAGATACAACCATGAAAACACTGGAACACTGAAGTCCGGCGCGTCCCAGGGACGTGAATAACTGTTTTAGTTCCCGCAACGAATGAATTGAATCAGAAGATATTAAAAGAGGAGAAGAGTGGTCGTGGTTTCAAGCGGCCATTTTGATAAGGTCTGTTGATTAGGATTGCCACCTTTTATTTTGGTATTTAAAGTACATTGACAGATTATAGGTAAGAAAAAAAAAGTACGCAGTACAAAAATAAAGTACAATTTAAGCTTATTTAGTAATATATTTAAAAATATACTTTTTATTGCTTTTTGTAAACAATTGCAGTGAAATACTAAACAATTGCATCTTTACTAGAAATTGTCTAAGTGGCGCTGGCGAATGGCGAAATCGATTCAACATAAGTCGATTAATATCGATATCAAATTTTGTAAAAATAAAGTATTTTCGTGTACTTTATTATTCTTATAAAGTATAGAGTACAATTACCTTAAATAACGAAAATACTTTATTATAAAGTACGGGTGGCAACCCTAGTCATGATTCGAATTTGTCGACAGTACTTAGTGGATGATTATTTTACGTTGTCTTGGACGGAAATGTCTTAAAATTAAAATAAAAAAAAATTGCTTTACATTTTGCACATTTATTATATTTTATACTTTAAATATAATATTAAGTTAAATTAATATCTATACAAGTGTGATTAGGGACCACAGTTCATTTACAATTTGAGAAAAGAAAGATCGGTTCCGTAAACATAAAATATTTTCAATTGATTTTGGACATTAGTTGTAATGAGTTTCTTAAATAACATCACGCCTTTATCCCGGAGGAATGGGTAGTCAGAGGTACATATTACGGCACTTAATGCCACTTTACAATGTAACCCCCACTTTTGACTATTCATGATGTGTGATGTGTGGGGTGAGCCTATTGTCATATATCGGGCACAATTTAAAAACCCAGTAATACTTTGCCCGACCCGGAAATCGAACCCGAGACCCCTTGCCTGGCAGTCGCACTTGTGATCACTCGGCCAACGAGGCAGTTCTATTGAATTTCTGAAAAAACTTTAATTAATACATTTTATATTAAATATTTAATTTAATTTCGTCTACAATCGACCATTTTGAATTAAGATTAAGTCATTATTCTCGACCGCAAATCGTTTAGAATCTACCAACTGTCGTCGCAAAACATCTGTGATAAACCCGTCAATGTCTATTAGTTGTTCTGTGACGTCTATGGTCCTCGATGTACCTGACGTGGTCCATGTCATCATCATACAATGTCTTCTCAATCCATCGCATGTAGGCTTCCACCTGGAGAAAGAAAAGATAAGGTAAAATACATCATAGGGTAGATGACTAATTTTTATGTTCATCTGGTAGATTATTTTATGACACTACACACGTATTTTTTATTTTCTTACAGAAACGAACACTTTCGACGATATATTGATTTGAAATGTCGGGTGACGTCACTTCTATGTACATTTTATACGTAGATATGACGTTTTAGCCCCCACTCCTAAACTGATTCGTTATAATATCTAAATATGATTTTATTATACGACAAATTAAAAGAATACGTTTCGAATATTTTTTCATTTCCTAACTGATGGATCAATTCGAATTTTAATTTTCGTACCCTGTCAACATCCCTATTATAAAGGTTAATTGGACTGACTACCAATTTGTGACTGTGGATCTCGTGGTTGACTGATCAGTGGACCAGTTATTACTAGATAGTAAAGATTAATGTAAGAAGATTATATTTAAGAATAACCAAAGAGTTTCTTTGTCCTTCTTCATACGAATCTGCATTTTAAACCAGCACCTGAGACTGAGACGAGACTCACTGACGGACAGATTAACGAATTCTTCTATTATTTTGACATTTTAAAAGGACCTGTACCTGCATGCTCTTTAGTTGAAATAAAGGCTTAGACTTTGACTTTTCATAGACCTTTTTCGTACCTTAGTATAGACATCAGGTTTCCCTCTGGCGCAGGGAATGCCCCAGGACACGATGCCGATCTGACGACCTTCGCGCACTAATGGACCTCCGGAGTCGCCCTGAGAAAACGTAATGGACTCTTAAGTTGTTAAACAGACAAAAAAATATTTTTATTTATTGATTTACACACTTTATTGTACACCATAAAAACATAGGTACATAGGAAAATAAACATAAAAACAATATGTACAATGGGCGGTCTTATCGCAGAATGCTATTTCTTACAGACAACCTTTGGATGGAGCCAGTAATCAGGAGTTGGAAAAAAGAGGGTCGTCTAGTGTACAATAATAATTAAAGCAATACATAAATATAATACTATCTATTCCTACATACCAAATGAATAATAATACACTAAAACAAATAACTACTATACATAAGATTGTTGGAGATTCGGAGATTGGGGAGAGTAATTAGGCTTAATATACTCCAGAATATTCTTTTGGAGGTTATTGAACTGACCATCAGATGCAGTGCATCCCTGAGGTGCTCTAGGCACATTTGATAAAAACTGAGTCTTCCTTAACTAAATAATAAAGGGAGATGGAAGAAAAAGTACAGTTGCCAGCCGATTAACCTACTATCTATTATCTATCTATCTATGCATTGGAATTTGGACTTTATGCCAATTGCATAAAGTTGATAATGTAATGGAGAATTTTACAGAAGTGATAGGTAGATCTGCTGATCACCATACAATAAAGTTAATAATCACTTACATGACAAGCGCCTTCTCCAGCCTTCGTCAAAGCGCAAATCTGAGTTTCGAACACAGGATTAATGCTCTTATGAGCTTCCTTACACTCTTCGTACGTGATGGACCTTAGTTCCAATTGCATTAGGTCGTTGGGTACACGACCTGGGTACTGTGGACGACAAGAAACGATTTAAGGAAGGTAAAACCTTAATAAGTATAAGTAAAACAAAAGATACGCATGGTAGTTACATATTGCTATGACAACTCTTAAAGGCGTTATAATTCTGTATCCTACTAATGAGGTATACTTAAATGAAATGGGTTTTTAAAAACCTCAGTAGTAGCACGGAGTCTGGAATTGTGCCCGGTATATGGCAATAGGCTCACCCCCTATTACATGGGACTCATAACATAAATAGTGAAAAGTGGGTGCTACATTGTACGGTGTCATTAAGTTCCGAAATGTGCACCTCTACCTACCCCTTCAGGGATAAAAAGGCGTGATGTTATGTTATGTTATGAAATTTTGTGAGGATGTATGTGTGTGTTTTTACTTACTTACTCTTTCAAGTTAAAGTGGCTGAGGGGATCGTGATCATCTTCTAAAAATCTATTAAATATGCTAACATAATTATTATTTAGAGGATTCTATAGCTGCCCAATTGGCCAAGGCAAAACAATGACAAATCTTTTTTTAGCAAAGCGGTACGAAATCTGCCGTTCTCCTTTGGAAAAGAGGTAGATTATGGTTTACAACAGGGCTGTCCAAACTATAGAACCTCGCGGGCTAATTAAATTTGTTACAAAAGCTGGAGGGCTAGAAAAATCCTTTACTCATAGACAAAACTTACACACAAATCATATACGAAATTTTATTATTGTTGTTGCATATAAGATGAAGATGTTGAGATTAATATGTGTCGCGGGCCACATGTAAACAAGCCGCGGGCCGCATGCAGCCCACGGGCCTTCGTTTGGACAGCCCTGCTCTTCTAGAGCACATTTTAAAAACATTATTTCTCCACTAATTATGCTACAAAGTTCACCTATCAATTTTCATTGATTCTGACAAGGCCGTTGACCAAATAGAATATAACAATTCGACAATCCTCGATTATTCAAAACCTTAAAATACCCGTCCTAAAATATGAAATAAAACCAAACTCACCGACGTGGTCCCCCAACCCGTCAACAGTAACTCCTCCCCCTTTTGCACAGGCTCATCATTAAGTTCCACAGCGTCCACCTTCCGTCCAAAACCCATCTCCACATCAGTAAACAGTATGGCGATATCGTTCTTAATGATGTAATTGTCATAGTCCTCGTGGACCACTATCTTTCGAATGTCGTATGCTGTTCCTCCTGCTAGGAGCTGGTTTGTGCCTACTACTGCTTTGAAGTATTTAGGAGCTAATCTGGAACGAAGTAGTTATTACTGTTAGTTAAATAATATACCTAAACAATGAAGAAACTGGCAGAAATTTCTAGTGTTATACTTATATATTTCCTCAAAGTCAAAGTCAAAATCATTTATTTCAATAAGACCAGGAAGGCACTTTTCAAAACAAAATATTTAAATATTAAATAATAAGAAAAAATCTCAGTCTGTAGGTCAGTCCTCTAGTGAAGCTATTTGCTTGTTCCAAAGTGTAGATTCCTATGGAGAAGAACGAGCAAGAAACTCCATAGGTTACTCTTTTTCAATCAATTCTATTGTTCATCACATTCATGGAAGTCAAGGTGATAAGAGAATAGGGGTCCAGATCTACCCTTATCGTTAAGAAGCAGTTACTTATTGCATGGAATTATTTATTTGTATCAATCACTATTTGTTTTTCTGAATGAGACTGCGGCTTGCAGATTATCGTCATTGCGCATATTAATAATTTCATAGCAAACATTAACATGATAACTTTTTGCTATATTCAATGAAAAAATTATGCGAATTTAAATAAGTAGTTTTACTTGGAATAAATTATTATTAAAATTAAGTAAAATAAGCATACAAATTTCATTGCTATCAAAATTGCCATTCACCTTGGCAATGCTGCCAGTCTTTTGGGCATCGTCCCTCACGATAGCGATGAGGTAATTTTTTTTGATGCCTTTATTTTTTTTAAGGGGGAAATCATCGAATGACTTCTCCCGTCTGGGTGAGGCGGGAAGGAGTGTCAGACTCTTACTGACTAAAAACCACCCCGTTCCTTTTCCTGCACATCGAGCCGGAGCCGTTACCCGTTAGGTTCTCCGCGACTTTTTGATACCTTAAGGTAACATTTTTATTATTTTTTTAAGGTGTAAATATTTTAGTTATTTGTATTTATAATATTAAATATTTTATTTATAATATTAAATACAAATAGCTAAAATATTATTTGATTTTGATTAGTTGAAATTAGCTATAAACGTATTAAATGTGAAAGTTTAATCTGTGGATTCATAAATTTGGACAATTTTCTTAACAATGTGTTTTTCTTACCTGTCAACACAATGTGCAGCAGTAAGTATAACTCTAGGGGTCACTAGCGAGGCCCCGCAGAAGTGCCACACGCCCCATAACCGTAGCGACACCTGGTAAGGCGCTGACCCGTTAGGAGCCTTTATACCACCCACTATACGTTCCCATTGTTCTTGGTCTTCTGGTTTTGAAGACGAAAAAAATTCAGACGATACTGGAAGTAAAAAAATTAAAATAAAAGTAAATAAGCAAAATAAAAGATTTTGAAAATGATTATGTACCAAAAATGTTAATTTAATATCAAAGTTTTGACAAAAAGTATTTGTCAGAAGTGGGATTCGAACCCACGCCCACAGAAGTGGACTGCGACCTGAACGCAGCGCCTTAGACCGCTCGGCCATCCTGACTTGTAGAAAACTGTCGAAATTATCAATTACATTCTACAAAACAGTACTAGCAGATAAAAATAGACTATGACGTCACAGGTAGTTGATAGAATTGATAAATTCACTTAGCGTGGATTGCATGCGATCAGTAGAAAACATTTAAGCGAGTATAGACTTTAGGTTCATAGTATTAGGGTTTATTAACCTTTGGGTGGCGTGACGTAGTTGGCATTGAGAGTTAATAGAGGTCAGTATTAGTTACTATGCAGTGATTTAACTGTTTACTTTTGTTTTTTCTCTACCTAACTACGGTGAAATAAGAAGGGAAGGTAATGTTTTGGTTATTTAAGTTAATATTGAGATTTTACTATTCTACGTACGTAACTTCACGCCCGTCTCCCATGCTCATATGATCCTTATCCTTACTAATATTATAAATCGGAAAGTGAGTTTGTTTGTTTGTTCCGCTTTCACGCCGTAACTACTAAACCGATTGCTTTGCATTTTTGCAGACGTAAAGTTAGAAGTCTGGATTAAATAATAGGGTACTTTTTATTCCGGAAAAATTTGATACTCTCGAGGAAAAACGAAATCTTTGGTATAGATGGCCCTGTGTGTTTATGTCACATATGCTACTTTTTATCCTTTTGTGACGCGAGCGAAACCGCGGGTAAAAGCTAGTAATGATATAACTTTATGTCCACAAAATTGTAAATTAGGTATCTATTAAGGTTTTAATGAATAATTTTGTATAGAACTTATGGCACCGACTTCTTACCTATCAGTGGGTGGGTAACCTATCAGTACTAATAATGGTTATGTTTTGCTTTTTAGTTTTGACTTTTTGTTTGTTATTAGTTTTTGGTTTTTTGAAGTCGGTTTTTTAAACGCAGTTTTTATTTTATATCTGTATAGATTTACTCGTGATTTTGTAGGTACGCGTAGGTTTAATTATTCCCACAGGAGGACGAAAATTAAGTATAAGTAATGTAACTTCAGGACATTGTTTTAGAAAAATAATAAGATTTTTAATTTGAGACCTAAACGATATTGCACCTTTTTTGCTATTAACAATTTTTGTTTGTGATAAACTTATTTTAATGTCCACCATAGAGGCTCTATCTCGCAAAACAGCGCTTCTTAACTATTACCGAACTAAATTAACAAAAAATCGCGGGTAACATAACATAACATAACATCACGACTTTTTATCCCCGAGGAGGTAGACAGAGGTGCACATTTCGGCACTTAATGCCACTGTACAATGTAACACCCACTTTTCACTATTTATGATATACAGTGAAACCTGGTTAATTGAGACATCAAGGGACCTACAAAGTCGTTTCACTTATAGAGGTATTCCACTTACCCAGTGTCTCAGATATACAGGTATAAATAACTATTTGTCTCATTTACAGAGGGTTCCATTAATAAAGGTGGACTTGGAATTACATGTGGAATTTGTGGGTAGAATAAGAATGAGTAAACAAAGAATGATATCTCAGTTACAGAGGTTTATGCATACAAAATGTACTCGCTGTCTTAGTTATAGAGGTAACTATGATGATAAATCGAAAGAACAAATCCCAGATATAGAGGTTTACCTCGTCCCACTAACAGAGGTAATTCAGTGGTAAAGTGTAGGGACCTCAGCATGAGTTCCAGTTATAAAGGTTTCTCACTTATCCAGGTCCCACTTCACCAAGTTTCACTGTATATATAAATCGCGGGTAACTCAAGTGAATATACTGAGAAAAGCTCTACTGGTTTCGGACCACAGAGGGGTTCTTCCTCATGAGCAGTATGCGCAGTCGCGGCGATGTCGCCCACCGTACCTAGATCGAACGATTTTTAGTTAATTGAATATACTAAACTTTTTTGTTTTTTAATTGATTTATTATTATTTTTTTAATTTTTCTAATTGATATTGGTTTTGGGAAATCATTAGGTCCTTTTAAAAAGCTTACATTTAGCATTCCTAGGTTGCTTCCTAACTTGATTAGGCTTCTGGTATCCAGTCAGGCCATTCACAATTATCTCCACGTCCGAATTGATAGGAAATGTGATTAAATCTTTTATTTTGAAAACCATTGCGTCTTTTGTTTTATTTTTTGCGGTGTTCAGTGGTACTAAGTCTGCAATGTATGTTTTGTTACTCGAAACCACTGTTTTCGTTCCACCTGGGAAGGAAAACAGTGAATCGTTATTTTTTTTAACTATTGTTTACAATGTAATATGACAATGTGAATGTTTGTTAGTTTGGTGCGCTTTAGTAGTTAAAAATCTGGTCTTATTTTAATATTATAACATCACGCATTTTACACATGAAGAGGTATGTAAAGGTGCACATTACGGCACTAAATATCACTTAATGTATGTAATACTCACTTTTCGCTATTTATGTTATGAGTCCCATGTAACAGGGGGTGAGTATTTGGAAATTGTTGAGACAAATCTAGTTTGAAATCGGTAATCCAGAAGCAAATAATTCTTTTATAAACTACGTTAAAAAAGACCGACTTCAACCCCCTTCTTTTCTGAAGTCGGTTAGGTAATTAATATACTAGAACCTTCTCCTAATTATAACAAACACTTTTCTGAAAACCATATCATAAACGGTTCAGTCAATCGCGAGATAAACGCGCACAAACATACATACATACATACGGGTCAATTTGAAAACCTTCTTTTTTAAAGTCGGTTATAAATATGACTGCTGCATCTTTTCGCCATCGACCCTCACGACAGCATATGCATCCCCATCATATAGATGGTTGGCAGGCCACAACTGTGCGCTTCTCACGTAGCTTCCTGCCTCGTACAGCAAAACTGTGGAGTGATCTGTCGTCGGCGGTATTTCCGAACCGATACGACCTTCAAACCTTCAAGAAAATAGCGAGCCTTTTTAAAAGGCAACGTACCGTGACTCCTCTTATGTTGTCCATGGGTGGCGCTAATCGCTTACCATCAGGTGATCCATCTGCTCGTTTGCCTCCTATTCCATAAAAAATATGAACCTAATTGAAGCTCCATTAGTATCTTAACTGCAACCAACCTTAACCTTATTTAAGCTTAACCTTAGGGGTTTTAGTAAAAATAGTTTGTTATTGTGTCAGAATTGTTTTTTTATTCAATACTAGCTTTTACCCGCGGCTTCGCTCGCGTCACAAAAGGATAAAAAGTAGCATATGTGACATACCAATACACACAGCGCCATCTATACCAATACTTTTTTTCCTTCGGGAATATCAAATCTTTCCGGGATAAAAGTACCCTATTATTTAATCCAGACTTCTAACTTTACGTCTGCAAAAATTCAAAGCAATCGGTTTAGTAGTTACAGCGTGAAAGCGGAACAAACAAACAAACTCACTTTCCGGTTTATACCTCAATATTAGTAAGGATAAGTAATGGTATAACAAATACTTGCTATGTCATGTTATAGTGTAATAATGTTAAGGAAAAAAAGGACTACCATCATGTTATGATATAATTAAAATTATTTGTACAATGAGCGTCTCTCGCCATCAAACGTCAAAGTTTGGCGAGTTTATATATTTAAGACCATACCTATGTAAAATTTCAATGAATAGGTAAATTTGTTAAAAAAAAATACCAAATACCGGTCACACAAAACATTCATTAAGAATATTTAAGAAAAGGCAAAGATTTACGTCTCAAAACTCACCAATAGCAAAACAAAACACAAAAATAACCGCGAAAACGAATCTACAGGCCGCCATCTTGTTTCGAAACTTGAAAACTATGGACAAGAATAGGAAACTTTTCCTTTATATAGCGCATAGACAATTTAGTCTGACGCAATAGTTTTTGTACTAAATTCTTATGGTGATACCCCTATAGTGTGTATTACGTGCATTTATTTAACTAAGATAATATAATGCCGTCATTATTTCAAGGTAGGTCATGATTGATGGGGTCAATATTTGTAGATGGTGACTATTTGAGTATTTGTTTCAAGTAGGCCCAAAAAGATCCGCCTCACCCTGGCGGGGTGGACCTACCCCACCCAAAAAGATCGTCACGGGTAACTGATGATTTCGTTGCTATTATTGATGACTGGCTTCTGCCAGCGGCTTCGCGTTCCCGTGGTGTAAAAACTTGGTAGACTGTGTTATTCCAGACCATAATCTATACCTGTACCAAATTTTATCCCGATCTCTTCAGCCGTTTTTGCGTAAAAGATTAACAAACATACAAACACACAGACATATACGTCCTCACAAACTTTCGTATTGATAATATTATAGTAGGAAGTAGGATTATCAAAGACGTATACTGAACTTCATGGTCTTCGTACTTTTTGGTTTGTCTCTATTGTAATTCTGGCTACCTGTGCTGGCTAGCGTTGGCTTCTTTTTTGAGGGGGACAGTCATAAATGACTCGCCCTGAATGGGACAAGAAGAAGGGTCCGACTTTTTTTAAGGGGCGAAAATCAACCATTGGCTTCTCCCGTCTTGGGTGAGGCGCGAGAGAGTGTCAGACTCTTACTGACTAAAAACCACTCTGTTCCTTCTCCAACTTCGAGCCGTAGCTTCGGTAACACTTATTATTGTCCAGTGGGTTGTATGGTGATATATATATATATATATATATGACGACAGGACGTACGTGAAATTGCAAGGAACCGCTAATCGTGCATTATTTCATGTGGTATTTTCTTTATGATCATTTCCGATGAATACATTGTTAGATAGATATTAATATTCACTGCAATATACAGGAAATCATCAATAGATAATATCATCAATATCAATATTGTCGAGGATACCATTTAGAAAAGTAATCAACATCTTATATGCGGTGCATAACAAATTGCTAACGGGATCCTTACTATTTATGGGGCGTCGCTTAGTCTCTGTTCTTGAATAATTCCTGTATTATAGCAATTGATAGTTTTAATGTCGTACGAGAATTTGTGGAATTTTTTGAATAGTTTTCCGAGATAACAAATTAGGGCTCATCACCAAAGTCTCTTAGGATCTTGTTTATTCGGACCTCTAACAGAAAGATATCAAAAAGTCACAATTTGTCAAAATTAACGTAGAAAATTTTAATATTTTTTTTGTATAAGTAAGCGTTGATTGTATGTAGTGCGATTCGTATTTGTTAATTTAGAGATCAGGTAATTTGAGTTCTAAACTCGGCAGGGTAATTTCTTAGTGGCGACGTCCTACATTCGGGGACATAATCATTATTCTGGATTGCAAATTTTTGACAGGACTTATTTGGGTCCTGTATATAAATATCTATAGAGATACTAGCGGACCCAACAAACGTTGTCCTGCATAGCCACTTGAATGTATAAACTAAAAATCATTCAAATTAGTTCAGCTGTTTAGGATAAATAACCTAAACATCGACTGCAGCGCCATCTGCCGGGCTGATTTATAAATCTAAACCATTCCCAGATCCCCTTGAACACACACAAAAAATTTCACCAAAATCGGTCCAGTCGTTAGAGAGAAGTTCAGTGACATATACACTCACAGAAGAATTATATATATAACTAGCGACCCGCCCCGGCTTCGCACGGGTACAATGTGTATATACATACAAACCTTCCTTAAGAATCACTCTATCTATTAAAAAAACCGCATCAAAATCCGTTGCGTAGTTTTAAAGATCTAAGCATACATACGGACATACAGCGAAAGCGACTTTGTTTTATACTATGTATTGATATGCATGTATTGAAGATAACACTGTTTTTAAGATTTCCGTCGATTTACCTCTCAATCTAAACACAGGTAGAAGAAAATAACAGCCAATAACTTCTAGTTCTGTAATTGAATAGCTCACAAAGTCACAAACCATATTTCGATGACAAACTATGTAATAACACTGCTATTAAGATTCCCGACTAGCCATCCAACATACAGGATGTATGCAATTTGCGAGTTGTACACCTCGGCTGCAGTTACAGGTCTAATCAGCCGTGTGATGTGCATAGCAATGCCAAGGTTGAGATTTAAGAATATTGTCAGGAGATTTTTGGGACATACTGTTTAAAATTTCTTTTTTAATATTAATTTTACATTTAGGCGTATTATCTTTGATGAGTGAGGCGTATTTTATTTGAGATTATCATTGATGAGTTATAGAACTGTGTAGTCGTGGTGGCCCGGAGGTTTAAGACGACTGCTTCTCATGCATGCGGGTCGAAACCTACGAACGGCAAGTACCAATGTGAGTTTTCCGAGTTATAAGTACTTTCTAAGATTATTCAGACACCACTGACAAACGGTGAAGGAAAACATCGTGAAGCAACCTGGGCTTATCATTTCTAATTATAAGTTTGAAATCGCCAACCTGCATTGAGCAAGCGTGGAAATGCTTGAACCTTCTCCATGTGGGAAGAGGCTTTGCTCAGCAGTGGGCATTTATAGGCTAATAATGATGATGAGTCCTATGTCCCCTAGATGGGGCAGAGAGCGTTTCTCAAGGTTCTCTATCTCGATCGGTCTTCAGATTCTTGGTTCACCTCACTCCAAGTCATTCCGATGCTATCATTGATGCTGCTTCCTAAAGCGATGAATTAATGCCGTAGGTATTCTCTGAGTCTACCATTGGGTGGTGTAGAATGTTGAAGCGGTTTTTTAAGTGGGAAATCATCGAATGACTGCTCCCGCCTGGGTGAGGCGGGAGGGAGTGTCAGACTTTTGCTGACTAAAAACCACCCCGTTCCTTCTTCTGCACGTCGAGCCGGAGCCCCGGTTACAAGTTAAGTTCTCCGCGACTGTAGAGAAGGTGTAGGAATAGATCAAGTGCAATCAGGGTGCTCATTGTGTGCTCATTCCAGGATATTTAACGTCAAGTTATAATATATATAATATAGAGTAGAACTATTTTAAGCCAAACATTAAAAAAGTCAACCTGCCAAGCATGGCTCTATATGGCATACTCCGTAGCCACGTAGAGAAGGAATAGGTTCCTTAAGGGTCGGCAAGACGCATGTAATGCCCCAAGTGTTTCAGGTGTACATAGGCCACGGTAACCGCTTACCATCAGGTAGGCCGTGTACTCTTTTGCCACCGTCGTGGTATAAAAAGGACCGTAGTCCAGATGTGGACTATCACATGTTGTATGATGAGAATTGGAAACACATTCTTTCATCGCTCTCCTGGAGTTCAACTTTCAGAATTTTTGATAATATTTTTCTTTCTCAATTTTCTTTTTAAACCTGCAACAAAAATCTGAAAGCCTTCTCCAAAACAAACCCTACATCCTCCTAGCGACAGCAGATGTTTGCGCCGGCGCCGATTGGCCCGCGCCGCATATGAATACAGTCATTACGCACACACGCGTACGTGCGTACGCGCATAATGACAGACATTATGCCATACCGTCACATCTCTAATAATCCAGGGTAAGTATACTATATGGCTTTATAGTGGTCGTTTCTGGCATAAATATACGTTTTAATACTAAATATATGGACGATTCTTTGTATCAGGATAGTTGTGATTGGATTAGCGGGTGTTTATACTGTAGTGGCGCCATCTGAGGAATGCAAAACGAAGGTTTTAAAGATTATAGAATGTTTTATAACTGTAAGTTTTATTGTGGTTTTAAATGTCATGTACCTTTATATCCTTACTATTATTAACTTTTAAAGTTTTTTTATAGGATCCTAGCGACCCGCTCCGGCTTCGCCCGTGTGCAATATGCATGTTTTCTACATATAAATACTTGATAAAATTGACGTGTAAAAGCCTAAGCCTAAGCGTAAAAGCCTATTTGCAGAAATAAATTCACTTGTTTCACTTGTTTCACTTGTTTCACTAAAAACCTTCCTTAAGAATCACTCTATCTATTAAAAAACCGCATCAAAATCCGTTGCGTAGTTTTAAAGATCTAAGCATACCTACATAGGGACAGACAGACGGCGAATATTGTTTTATACTATGTAGTGAAGCCGGTAAACGAGCAGATGGATCACCTGATGGTAAGCAATCGGCGCCGCCCATGGACACCTGGAACACCAGAGGCGTTATAAACGCGTTACTAGTCTTTTGGGGATTAAGAATTTGCAGATTGTTCTGGATTTAAGGATTGGAGAGATTGGGGAGTGGAATCGGGTCTCCAGCAACCTCACTCACACGATGAAACACAACAAGCAATCATTGTTCCTGTTTCATGTAATTTTGTCTCATGTTTAGGAAGTATTAAAATCTTCTGTATCATGGATACGCTTTCAAACCAGACACATACATAAAAAGAAATAAAATAAAAATTAAAAAGTCTTTATTTGACCTTGCTACATTTCGCAATACGCTTACTGATTGGACTTTATTATCTTTTTTATTTATCTAAATAATTTATTTGAAAATACATACTTATTATATATACAATTAATATTAACTATAACTAAATGAAAATATATACAACTTAAAATATAAATAACTATGAACTAAAATATTTACACCTTAAAAAAAAGGTAATAATAAATAAATAAGCTATAATAAGGCATCAAAAAAAAAATTTTCCTCATCATTATCGTGAGGTAGGGTGCCCAAAAGACTGGCAGCATTACCACGTTGAATGGCAATGCTTAACCTTTGTCCAAGGTAGAAGCCAGCCCTTCGATCACCTGAAGTGTCAACCATCCTCTTTACAATATCTTTGTAAAGAAGATGTGCACTTGGGCCCCACGGCCCTAAAGTTTCAACCCCAAACGGTTCGAAAGCATAATTGCCAATCAGGCTATCATACTTTCGCCGTTTGA